CTGTCTTCAACTAGAAATACCTTCTAGAATGAAGCTAACAGAAGGCAATGAATTCTCATGATGGCATTTGGGACCCAAGACCATCTAGGAATTTCAAAGGGACAAATCATAAAGATAATACAATATTTGAGATCTAATGTATCATGTAACCATTCTTAGAAGAGATCTTAAGTAAAAGCGAATTCCTGCTCAAGGCAGCCATTTTGATTTTTTTGATTCACAAACCAGAAATAAGCCACACGGAAAGCCAAACATATATGTTACATATCTTATAGACATATTGCTCCCCCCCTCCGTCCCCTCCCCCCTCCGTCCCATTTTAATTATTTTCGATTATTTTTTATACAACGTATGGAAATGTATTTTGTAAAGTCATTAAGATCATTAATTTCATGATGATAATGTCACTTACAAATATTTATTGCAGGTTGTGTAGACCGTTGATGCTTGATTTAAAGCAAAAACATTGACTTGCACGTTGGTTGCGTTGCGCCTTTTTTAATAGATCGGCTTAAAAAAATTCGTAGAATATGTGACATATTTTACCATACCGTGCGCCTATTCGTTTAGCAATGAAATCATAAACCTTTTCTTGAAAAAATAATTTTTGCAGATTTGTTCATTTTTCTACCAGAAATTGCTTGCTCCCCCCCCTCCGTCCCATTTTCACGATCACCAGGCGTGAAGTGAGCATTTAGGAAGTTTTGTCGTTAATTAATTAACATTGCATCTGCTGTTGTTACAGTAGTTGTCCATTATTGCTGATTCGAACATGACTGTATTCACGCCTTCTATAAACTGTAAACAAAGTCAATGTTTCAGCTGGGTTATATTCGAGATCAATAACCCGGTTAATACGTGTAATGTGTGATGTCATAACAGTGGGTCTTAGTAATGGCGGACCATGATGAATATTCGAAAAAAATTTGGTGAGTTTTCATGGTCGAATCGTAATATAGACCTCAGAGCAGGGGTAATATCGTTGATTACACCCCTTGGGGCTCGGCACAAAAGCTTTCGAACCCCTCACTCCCTTCAGTCATTTGGGGTACAGAAAACGTTTGTGCCTAGCCCTGCGGGGTGTTTTCGACGATATAACCCCTGCTCTGAGGTCTATATTTCTTAATTAAAGCAGAATGAGTGGATTTCAAGAATTGTTTATTTTGTGGAGAAAATTATTCATTTTAGCAAGAATTTCACTTTTTGCACATACTTGCACCACAAAATTTTACTTTTTCCCGTGCAGAATTTGGCGCATTATTTTATAATTCATTCAGAATTTGGCTTTTTCATGCAGAATTTCTGGGTAGAATTTGCATTTTTCTCATGCAGAAAACTAGTGTGTGTGTATCACAGCTCGCTGCTTATAGTAGGCAGCGGTTAACCAAACCCGTCTGGCCCAGTTATCTACTCCCGATGTCGTAGATCTGGGCCAGACAAGGTCCAATGCAAAAAATGGGGTATTTACTCCGGAAAAAACACACAGGTTTTTCAATGTATAATACGTGCTGATAAATGAATAAACATCATAAAAAACACTTACGTGTTTGTTCATTGTATCAAACTTTGTATTTATATTAGGTTTCCATCGCTGGATGACGGCTAATAGATAAGAACGAAACGATAAAATGCAGCAAAAAGAAAAATTCTTCTGCAATCTGTTTGTGATCTCTTAGGATATCGAGAAGTCTTGGCTGCATATTTCATTCAGTACTACATTCGGTCAGTTCAACAAATCGAAAAATCGTATTTAATGTCCACAATATTTCTTTCAAGTCTAAATACAACACAGATACGTCTGTTTTATGACTTTATTCGTTGCGGAGAGCTGACGAAAATATTGACGAAATGTTGTGCCCATTTCAACATCAATATAACAAACAAAACACCACATTTACGCGTAAGTTATATACTCTTTATTTCAAATAAATACTTGGGTTTACATGGAGCCCGATGTTTTGGTTGGATGGCTAATAGAGCCTAATAGGGAATGAATAATAAGTGATGATTCACCGACATGTTTTTTCCGGAGTAAATCCCCCTTTTTAGCATTGGACCTCGTCTGGCCAAGATCTACGACGTCAGGAGTAAATAACGGTGCCAGACGGGTTTGGTTAGGCAGCGGTGTGATGACGTCACCCACTTGTTGGCACCAAATTCCAAACTCCCGTGCAGTGATATATCACTGCGGCGGGCAGGTATCACACCGTAAGCATGGTAACTTCGTAATAAACAACTGACGTGATTGGTTCTAGTCCCATGCTCAGGTCGCGTGATTGTAAAATTTAGAAAATTTCATTGGTTGAATTGCGCGTATTAACTAATAAACAACACGTGCAGTAAACTAGCCTATTATCAACAAAACTTTTACTCAGAATTCCTTCTGCGGTGATTTCTCCTCATATTTCAATAATTTTGAAATATTTTGACAAAATAATGTTTGGGGAACATTCATGAATACATATTTTATAAGTTGTGTGAAAATTGACCACATATGCGATAAAAAAGGGAACTATTTTCACCAAATTTTGGGGATTTGCTTCATCTGCCCGCCGGCAGTGTCTATACCGAGACACTGCATTGGAGTTCGACCAAATTCCAATTTCGTACGATTGCAAGCTAAATAACGCCAGGATTACTCCCAAACATAAAATATACATGAATATAAATTACCGAGACATGAAATATAACAACAATTATGCACAGACTGACATAATAAAGATGCTTTAATGAGTTGAAGTTATCCTCCTGAATTTTTAATTCCAAAATTGCTAGCGCAGACAATTCTCAACTTGAACTCCATATATCTCGAAAAATATAAGCTAATTCTAGTCCAAAGCTA